ATTTTTGCTTTATTTCACTGTTTTCTATATTGAAGATAGTGTGGCCACATGATATTAACACACTAGACATTTGACATTCTTATTACTAGTGAAAAATTCAATATTTTTACAATAGAGTTACCTTCATATCAAAAGTTTCAAAAATACAGCCACTTTTTCAAAGTTTTAATTGTCAAAAGTTGATTTTTATGAACAATAAGTATGATATTCAGAATCAGCATGCAAAGATATACCGAAAACTTTATTTGGGTGTGGATTTGAATATTGAAGGACTTATAATGAAAATACTGAGACTGATATTCACTCTGTCGCATCTGTCAGAGATGATAAACCTTAAAGATTGTGGAATTTTACTAATCACTTTAGAAATAACATGTAATTCAAAAGCAAAAATGAAATATGAAAAGCTTCTTTCTCGAAATACTATACATATAATGGTGTTAAAACAACAAATAATCTCTAAAAGTTTCTCCTGGAAAAAAACCAAGTCATCTGAATATGCTCATATTATTGTTCTGATTGAATTAAAAATACAACTAGAGCATATAAATAAGGCCAAATTAGATCGATTTGATTTGCTACATGCCTCTTTCATGAGAGTTTTATTTACTTGAGCTAATTTCAAAAAGGTTGTTTTTAGAAATCTAAATATGTTAATCGGTGAAACTGAAAAATTTCTGGGAAAAAGTGTATTTGAAAAATTGTGATGTTCTCTAATTCTATGAATGAAGAGCTTAAGAATTCGATAAGAAGTTCTTAACTTCACTGCTTTGCTGACTTCCTAAGAAGGAAATTAGTGTCATCTACTATCACAATTTTTGGTAAAATATAAGTATTGTAAATGTCATTCTGTTTAGCATAGTTATCAGTAACTCTATTTTACATATAAGAACTGCTTCGATCAAGGTCATCGATTGTATACTCTGAGCGTTGTCAATCAAAGCTTTTCTGATAATTATTTTCTGTTACTTAAAATATCTTATTTTCATGTCTCTTAGTGTTTTGTTATTTGTAACTAGCCTCGCTTTTTTAAGTTTAATTTTATCGCGAAGTTAGTAATGTTGAAAATCATATATACATACTTGTTAATTGATATTGAAATATATGATATTTATTTTTGTGTGTTTGCAATCTATTTTGCTTCGTAATTAATATGAATGAAATTAATGAATTTTCACCCACTCGTACATATTTACGTGAATTAGTCGACCATGACATTATCATCAGATAGATAAATTATTTTACAAGGATGCGCTCATCATTGCATATTTTTTGTTCTATCAATATTCTTTCTCTCTTTATTGCCCTTTCTGCATTTCGTGCTATTACACGAGCAAAATACACAGTGATACTTACATATAAGAGTGCATTACATTGAAGGGTGTAAGTCTGGATTGAGGTATATTTGACATCTACACCCTCAAAATCAATAAGGTTTTCATATCTTTTCAGAAATAAACCAAATCTTTTCTTTTCTTTTTCTTCATTTTTAGTTAGTTTTTACAAACGAGTATAAATGTTAATATCTGATATTTGTGAATGTTTTCATGGACGGTTTAGGACATTTTACTGGTATGATTCGTTTTTTTTCTATTTTGCATTAATTATTTAAAAGAAAAAAAAAGGAAAACCTTTTTTAGGATGATTTAACTATGTTTGCTGATTATCATGTTCCTCAAGTTTTATCTCATGAAGGACAATTAATTTATTGATCAAAATTGAAAGAATGTTTCAAAACGTGAAGAATTAATTCCATTTTGTGATGATGATAAAATAGAAATTTGTACTGAATTTCTTTTAGTTGTTTGTTATCTTGTCAATCAAATTAATGAAAATATTTCTTTAGAAACAGATATTGAAGATCAAGGACAAAGATTAAATACTGCAATCATTAATGATTTTCTTTGGAGAAAATGAAAAGAAAAGCAAAATATTTATCAACAAATACTATTCCATCGAATTCGATCGATATTTTTTGTTAAATAGTTTTTTAAATTTCTTCTTCAATTGTTGAGAAAAAAAAACTTTTCAATGATAAATGAATAAAAGTGAATGAATATGAAGTGATGTCAATAGAAAAAAATAATTGTGTTCTTCAATTAAATAATTATGAAGAAGAAATAAAAAACAAGAAAGACACGGACCGACGAAACGAGAAAAAAGCGAAAAGATATTAGGAAAAACAAACAGAACAGACAGAAAGAACAGAAAAGATGGTAACAGGAATGCCTCTAATAACAACACTAATAACATCACATACCTTGATTGATTTGGCTTGTTATAAATAATATAAAAAATAACAAATTTATTTAAATAAATGAATACTTACTGTTTGATTTGTCGTTGTAATTAATGCAAAAAAAAAGATAAAATCTATTTAAATAAACGATTGCTTACTGTTTAATTTATCGTTATAACTAATCTAAAAATATTTTTTTCTAAATTAACACTTACTTCACCACTCAGGACGAGCATATACTTTTATATAAAGTTATTCGGTACGATTTTTTTTGTTAGCATAATTTTTGTATAAAATATTTTTCTGAGTAATTATATGAAAATATATACGATAACCAATACATAAACTATTATATTAAATCGTTTATGGAGAAAGTTCAAAATGCATATCCACATTAATATATCTAATAAAGATTAGAAGTGTACAGCTCACGCTCGTGAGTGTGAGCTATGCACCACTAATAAAAATTAAATCTTGAATGCGATAGATTGAAAAAGTCACCCTTCTCCCTAGTGAATGTACTGAGCTAAGGGCACCTGAAAAAGTACTCGGCTACCAGTATATCACAGGAACTTTCGGGTACTGAAGTACCTTAAAGTATTTTTAGGCATGTATAAGGTACTTGGACGGGTACCTGCTGAAAAGCGTCTAGTAAATGGGTACTTGAAGATATTGATCAAATACTCAACTGGGTATTATTGCACAGGATTTTTGGGTACCCTGTTACCAAAATTGACGTATGTTGATGATCGAACCTAACCTTTGACTCTTTTCATTTTTGTTTCTCTCAAAACAACTTATTATTTTTTTTTTCGATTTTATTTAATTTAATTTTTCTAATTTTGAAAACTCAAGCAGGTCAAATTTCGAAATCTGACTGGATCTCAGTTGGTCGGATCTCCATCAGACCGCTTCAAGATAGTCCTCTCTCAATTTACGATCGAGATTGACATGTTCTCGACTAATATATAGTCGAGAAATAATCTAGAAAAAATTCGCATGAAAAAAATATTGATTTCTTATGTTTTGTCGAGTTGTTTATATGAAGCCGTGTGTACAAAAGAAAACGGTGAATGCACAGTTGCTAGACAGAACGCGACAAATCTAAGATCCCCTGTAAAACTTTCTTCAGTAAAATTATAGGTGCGGGTACCTACACAAGTACTTGTTCAGTAAACATACTACTATGAGTAGCCAATGCAGTACCTACATCAGTATAATTACTGAGATTTTTCGAAGTACTCATATCGGGTACCTTGCTGAGACTTTCTCAGTACATGGATACTCTTATCTCAGTACATTCACTAGGGTTTTTATCAAACGTCTGTACATTATTTTTGATTGATATCAACAATAAATTTACTTCTTGTTGTCTATGAAACATGCAAGATAGCATTTTTCAGTAAAGAGTTTAGAACAAAAATAAAAAAAAAGAGATTGTCTACACTTTTTCATCACAATAAATATAACAAGAGTCTAGCCAGCACATTGTTAATAATTAGAAAGCATATTGAATAAAGATTACACACTAAAATAAAATGTGTTGCGAATTATTGTGTCGCAGGTTCTATCATAAAAAAAAATGTCGACATTAGAATGTGTCGTATGTGACTTTGTCGCATTCTGTCTATTGACTATTCATTCTTTTTTCTTGTTTTCCAGACACAGTTACACATACACGTGTAGAGTGTGTAGTATATCTATCGAGGACTTATCCCTCAAAAAATGACTTTTGTAATTGCTTATAATAGTAGAGAAAAAGTTTTTAAAAAAGAAATTAATTTTGTGCAAGTGTTTTTTTGCAAACATCTATCCAAGTTTGAAATACAAGTCTCAACCGATAGAATACATGAAAATATTCAAATATCTAATTCCTGCATAAGAATTGATATAAATCGATGAAATTTAGATAAAATAGTATTTTTCCAAGGAGATTATCAGCTACAGCGCAACATAGCAGGATAGATTGACTAGAATTCGAAGATATGCCATATAAACAATATGAGTACTTTAAAAATATAACAACATTACTCAATATATTTACATATAAATATCTCATTATGCCATAATAATCTATACTTTTATAAGTTCAAAAAAATGTTATAACTCTTTACCCCTATTGACAAATGGCGTGATCATTTGTAGCAATCTTTTAGAATTTCATAAAACATCAAGTTTCAACAGTTTTATCAACATTATTTGTACTACATATTCTAGTTCAAACAAGAGACATGTTGCAATACCATTTATCCATACTATTGAGATGCACAGGGTAACCTATATTATGTTTGCCTTAGTTGTTTCATCAAGATATTCTAGAATGACTGTATGGCTACAGGGATAATTAGAAATGACGATGTTGAATAAAATCTAAAATAAGATTCTTCTATGTATATAGGTCAGAGATTTCTAGAAATATAAAGTCGAAATAGAAAAAGAACGAAAAAATATTATCATTTACCTTTTATATCATCATAATAACAATAAATAGAACTGAATAACCTCTCTTACAAAAACAATACAAGTTTCAGAGAAATTGCGTCGACAAAAAACAACTTTTTCTTTTTCTCTTCTATTTTTGTTCCTTTTCTTTTACTTCGTTCTTTTTATTGCGATTGAGAAATATGTTTACTAATGATAGTCAATTTAACAATTACGCAGTATCATCCCTATATAAGACACACCTTCGATACTATTTGACAGACAAAACTTTGAAACAAGCTACAAACACTTATTTTCTACTGTGAATAAAACATTTACAATGTCATCATCAAATCAACAACAAAATGCTAATCGCAATCAACAACAACAAAATCAGCAAAATCAAAATCAAAATCAACAAAATCAAAATGCTGCACAACAATTAGGAGGTGCTGGTTCAAATCAAGCTAATCAAAATTCTAATCGTGGTATGAATAAATTCATTATTTTATTTTTATTTTATAACTTCACTTTAAAGTGTTAGTTAAATCAAGAAAGAATATATACTTTTCTCTTGAATCTAATTGAGGAGAAAAACTAGTTAAAGCAAAACAATCAGAAAGTTGAATCTTTATCTTGAAAAACTATGAGAGATATTCAGAAAAGTTTTTTCAACCTGATTCAAGTAATAATTTTTCTTTGAAGAATTCCGATCAAAATAGATTTTATCGATAGATCAGAATATTATATAATCTATTTTGTTTTGTTTATTCAAGGTCAACAACAACAAAATCAACAAGATCAACAAAATCAACAAAATCAACAAAACCAGCAACAACGAAATCAACAACAACAACAAGGTGGTGCTGGTAATAACCAACAACGTCAATAAACATCATTGACAAACATATAAAGTTGAATGAACTTTTTCTTTCATTTTATTTCAACAATCAATTTTTTGTATTATTTATTCATGTAATGGATGCATTACCTATGCTTTTTTTGTTCTTTTTTGGCCTCGTAATGAAGCTTCAAATTTGATTACACTAAATAAAAAAGTGTATATATCAATTTTCTTTGTCTTACATCAATACTAAGCAGAAAATAACGGAAGATTTTATTTGAATGTTATCATTCTGACCAAGCATAAGACAAATAATGATATCTGCAACGATATATAAGAGAACAACAAGTATGTTGTTATTCTCAACATATATTTGTATGATCGATGATAAAATTATCTTGTTAAGACAAATTATCCTAAGAGGAAAGGAAATTTTTATAAAGACTCAATAAATAAATCTATTGATATTGAATCATTTTGAAAGCATATCAATTTAAATGCATCGATAATTTATCTTGAAATTTAACAGAAGACAATTTTTGTCTCTCTGGATAGGAAGAAAGACAAATAATTCAATGTTAAAAAGTATACGACTCACGATATATTAGAAGATGGGGTGTGGGCGTGGTTGGACAGTACATTTACACCTAACCACACCCACACCCTTTTTTCGTGGTTGACTATTCATGCAGATAATCTACCAAAAGTTAACTGTAGTCGCACGAGTTTTTCGGGAAGTTTCTGTATAAGAACATCCGCGAAAATCCTGTGAAGCCAGTTAGACTAGTGAAAAATCAAAGATTGCAAATAACGTAGTGTAAAAAGTGAGAAAATTTAACGACATGACACTTTGAATAATATTAAAAAAATTTACTAGAGCAATCGTTTATCGTTGTAAAAAAGTGTAAATTTTTCTCTTGTAAGTAGATAATAATAGCTGTAAGCGATGTTACTTAGCTTTTTGCTCACGAATGAAAACTTGGTAGTCTGCTCTATCATTCGGAAAAGTTTTACCTGATTCAGTCAAATAACTGTAGTAATATTCGATTGTTTTTTTAGTAGATTTATTCTGGAACACTCGATATATGTATATCGATCTTTCTTTTATATATTTTTAGGTTATTATTATAATAATGAGTTGCATCATTTTCCTCTATTTTCAACTGTACCTCAATTTTCCTATCTTGGTGATTTACTCGCTGTACATAATATCATCTAGTGATAAAAAACTGTTCTTTGCACAATCACCTCATCTTATTCATGTGTCTGTCACATTACATCAATTTCATGATTATTCGTTTACTGAATCAACTAAGTTCACAATTATATTTACTTAGTGTGAGTATAGTACATGTACGTCTTGACGAAAATAATACTCTACCTCAATTAACATCAGTAAGTTGTGTTTCTCAATTTGATATTTTGTGTTAAATTATTCGAAACTATTTTCTTTGAACATATTTCCCGAGCTTTATCTCGTCCTTCAAACATCTGAAATAATTATTCAATTTGAACAAGAAGAGAAAACAAATAAAACAATCAACACTATTGAATTTCATCATTTGAGTCTATTGATTTTATACAATATTCATGTTATTTATTCTGAACAACTTCTTTGTCAAAATTGTCTTTCATGTCTAGTTGAACTTGTCATTCGTGGATAATGCATTGTCAACAATAATTGATCAAAATCAACAACAAGCAAGCTCGAGACAATTGTTCAAATGTTGAAATATTTCAAATTGTTGAACCATAGATTGAACTTTTTTCTATATTTACATAGTAAAATTATTGACAAGAATTAAAATAAAAACGAATAGATTATATATGTATCTATTGATTTATTAATAAACTTTTTATTATTATAGATCAATGAAAAATACTTAATATTATAATATTTATAGTTTAAAATAAACGATAGAATTATTCATATACGATTGTAATGTTTCGTTAAAAGGAAAAAAAGAGCTAAATTGAACGATCAATGACAGTAAGAATATTGAAAAATAAAGAATTTGAATAACAAACAATTTTTTGACTTAATACGATCAAATGCATGATTAATTTTATCTCTTACTTGAAACTATTGAATTTTATATTTTATTTATTTTTGTAACATTCTGAAATACCTACACAAGGAGAATCTAGAACTAAATGGGATAAGACTTTAATGACCATTCAACTTCAATATTAGAAAGAATGTAAAAAACTGTATAATATATTCTTTTAAAATCAATATTCAATGTTAGAATATTTGATTGGTTCATCTCAATATGTACACCAGTCACTCACATGACTCTTTGTGCTGTCACATGTATGAGACAAAAAAACAGCAGATTAGACAACTCTTTTTTGCATTCATTGTATAACATGCGATGTAAAAGTCTTGGCAAAAATGTCAAACTATGTTAGACCATACTGCCAGCTTCTAACCCAATCAAATTTTTTTTTGTTGAAAAGAGCAAAGTCCAAGGGAGAAACGACTGACTTAAGTCACTTTAAAGTCATTTTAAGTCAAAAGAAGTCAAGAAAGTCACGAAAAACATCTGTAAAGGATCATTAATAAAGAATAAAAAGCTGTGACTTTAGTTTTTCAATCTCGATCACACATACTGCAAATTTTTGTTTACTTTTTTTTCCAAAGACATACGCATATAAAGCAGACGAAACGAACAGATACATATATATTGCAGGCAAAGTTGGCATATCATTTTGAAAACTTCAGAACTAACAAAAAACACAATAACGCAAACACGAATGATGGTGAGAATGAAAGAGAAGATCTGAGTGACAGAGTAGAAGTAATCATAGTGTATGTAAAGAATTCTTAGCGAAGGTTAGTTTTTCAGTACGATTATGATGTTATGCAATTATTCAGTCTGATTTTATCCTCAACTTCACTCTACTTATTGAGATCTCTCATCTTCACCCAGATTTCGGTCCTCAGCATCACCATCATTCGTGATGACGAGAGATAGATGAGATCAAAAAATTAAAGAGTTGTCAAGACCAACACATAAAAACTTACTGGAACCACGAACAGGAAAACAAAGTTTTTTTGTTAAATTTTCCTTAATTTTTAGCAAACTAAGTCGTAAATTACATCATTTTCTTAATAAAATTGATAACATGAATAGTTGTTAGTTTATAAATTTCACGATCTTAATAGTAAAGTTTCAAGATTGTGAACGTTTTCTGAGGCATACTTTGAGTTATGGAAAATCTAATTATACGATTGGATAGAGATCATCGAATTGTACTTGAGATAAGAATAACAATGTTGAAACAAGTTTCTGAATAAATCCTACCTATAAATAGTCGAATTTGGATTCAACTTCACCTACGCTTTCAACGGATTATGAGAGCAGAGATTGAAATTATGATTGTCTTCGCTGTTTATAAAGCTGAAGGGTGTCAATATTGAAAGTAACATTCGAATATAACAAGATATATTAGTTTTAAGATAAATGACTTGCATGACTTTTAAAGTCATCAAAGTCATTTTTAAGTCAATTAAGTCAAAAGTCAGTCGTTTCTCCCTTGGCAAAGTCTGAACTATAAATTTTGTATCAGGCTGATTTTTTCTGAACAAATCTACGAAGCAAGAGAAGCTAAAAACCTCTTAAAAAGTTCTTGCAACATTTTTGCCACTTGAAAATTTTCTATATCTCAATTATCTTCAGCTACATAAATCGAATTATAACAAAAAATATACGAATATGTGGCACATCGAAAGTTCTATCGATATCATCTTTGAAAAATTTTTGCAAAATAGAGTCTTTTACAAGAACTATCTATTTGGAAGGAGATCAACTACAATCTCCAGAAACTATGTGTGAACTGAAATCTTTACATGTTATTTGTTTGAAATACATCAGACCGTAGTAACATAGCAGAAAAAAAGAATTCAAAAAATCTCTTTCATTGTTACAAAACGTTCAAGCAGTAAGAAGATCAAATTATACAATGTCATCCAAAAAGAACTATGTTTTTCTAAAGAAACCAAGTCTAAATTTAACTCTGAATACACCATTTGAAAGAGCACTCTTTATACTACAAAAATTCATCATTAGATGTTCGTTTTCATTTTGCTTTTAATATAAATAAAAAATGAAAATAAAATAAAAAATGATGTTGCGCGAAGGTAAAGTTGCAAGTACTTTTTTAGTGATGTTTGGTTTTTGGCTTCTCCTGTTTCGTAGATTCGTTCAGGAAAAATGAGTCTGGTACAAAATTTGTAGTTCAGACTTTGCTCTTTTCAACAGAAAAAACAAAAATTTGATTGGATTAGAAACCGGTAGTATGCTCTAACATAGGTTGACATTTTCTGCCAAGACTTTTGCATTGCGCATGTTATATGAAGCTATCGTTGAAGGATATTGATTGTATTTGTTTTATTGTTACCTTCATATGATATAGAAAAACAAACATGTTCTTATGTATTAAATAGAATATCAATTGATAAAGTTGTTCGATAAATTTTTTTGTACACTATCGAAAAAAAAAAGTTTTTTGTTTTTTTTCTATTTCACGAATTGACAATCATTTCATTAATGAGACCTATTGAGATTCAGATAATATATGTAAGAAAGAATTTCGATCCAGATTACTAGACAATAAATAATAAAGAGATGATAAAAAAGAAATATTCAAAATTTTTGCTCAATTTGTTTGAAAACAAAAAACTGTATGTTCATCAGTTCAATGATTCATGATGAATTAATCGTTATTTGACTTTCGAAAGAAAACATGATTTTATTTATTTTTATTTTTACATATTAAAATATTTTATTTCATATAGAAATTGATCGATAGAATACAGTAAATATTAAAATATATAACTATTGCTAACTATAAAATAGAAACAAATTGATATTGATAACAGCTGTTACATGAATCGATAATAAAGAAAGTGTAAAAATATTCTTTTTAAAAAAAAAAAAAAACATTATCAATTACATATTATATATAATGATTCATTTCAATATGCCGTCTGAAATAGATAAGACATCACAAATATTTGAAAATGAGAAAATCGATCAATCATTACTTTATTATCATCAGAAGATAGTTCCAATTAAGAAACATCTTCTTATTCTTCTTTTCATACAATGGGTAAGTTCAATAGAATGTTCTATAGAAATATTTCATAAAATTCAATATTTTAAATAGTTTACTTGTGTTGTTATTCTTGGTGTTGAATCTTATTTAGTATTTATTGGAAATGCAGTCGATATTTCAAGTGGAATTCAATCATTGATACCAATATTTGCTTTAACTATCTATTATTTATGTGGTTTTATAGTTACATATGAACAACATCGAATTGGATTACTTATCGTATGTTATTCTTTGTTCTTTAAGTTTTTTTATTTTATTTATGTTTTTCAATGTTAGTTTGCATCAATTGGAGTTATTATCTTTATATTAATATGCGTTTGGTTTGGTTATATCATGTTGGTCATAACAGCGTTAATTGTTGGTTTTGGTGTTAATAGTCACGCATATGCAGTTCTCGTAGTTTTGGGGATTCTTTTTCTAGTGGTGATATTTGTGATGGTAAGATGATTGTTGTTATAGATATATATGTATCGGCAAAATCAGGCAGAATAGGACATTTGCACCTTTCATTTGAGACTGATTCTCTATAAGAGTGAATTTTTTGAATAAATTCTTTTGGCATAGGTTTATATGAAAATGTTTGGTCTTTCACATGGTTATTAATCAAAAAGTAATTAGCAAATATCTCGCTAACCATATGAGAGAAAAAAATCAGGATAGGGTCTAGAGCACAAGCTGCATCTATGGTAAAATTTTCAGCAAGATTGGACTCCAAAAATTTTCTTCCAAAAAAAACTTGTTTTCTAGAGACCTTAAAAAGTAAAGAAGCGAAAAATTTTCTCGTATCATCATCTAGGGATTCTGAGTAACGATTTGCGTAACATTTGAAGTCGATTTTGAACTTTTCAGTTGGTTACAAGAGCATCATCTCGATTGTGTAGTCGTACTGCGTCACGTCGCTAACGACAAATAAATCGGTTTTTTTGGAAAATCTAAACATGCTCAGAAAAATTTTGGATATAGACTTTATAGCCTTAGGAGTGGTCTACGGAATGCCCTATTTAGTTTTCTAAAATTGTGTATGAATTGGGAGTTATTAGAAATTAAGATACACGAAGTGGAAATTGATATCCTTTTTTTGTGTCACGTCGCTAACGGTAGTTTTTTACCAGTAACTTCTGTTAACAAAGCTCCATAGCGCTGATTTTTTTTAGGATATCTAGAGTAACTTAATGTCCGTGCAACATATAAGAAATCAGATCTAAGAGACCTCATTATCTCGAGATGCGCATATTTTAATTTTCTGAAGTCACGTCGCTAACAAATGATTTTGCCCATATATATATATATATATACACAAATATATTTGACTTATGTATGTGTTACTTGTTTCAGATTATATCTCTGAAACTCTCTTTCAATTTGGTGAAATTGCTCCAAACAAATCAGTTTTCGACTGTCTAAAATTGTGAAAAACATGAATTCTTCTCTTCAATAAACATCGAAACTATTTGCCATGAATAGCATTCAGTTTCTTTAGTTTATATTTGGTTAACTGAATACTATTATTTAATTTTTTTTTTTTTGTATCATCATGTAGGATTTACATAATAATCAATTCGTCATTTTTGAAAAGTATAGTTATTTGTTTTTAATCAATAAAACTCTAAGAAATCTTTTATTATAACTAGATCGGTGATAGCTTTCAATTTTGGAATTCTGTCTTTTTTTGAGAACTGGGTCTAGTAATCAGTTCTTTCCATGTAGACTAGGTATATTGATAACGTTAATAAAGCAATTCTATTCAATACTTGTTTCAGTTGTCAAAAAAAGAACATGTTCATAGAAGTAAGAGTTGTCACGCGTCTAGAACTGATCAGTTTGTGAACGATTCAGCTCTTTCGAAACGAACTGAATGATTGATATCAGGTCCTCGATCACGAATTGACATACGTATTATTATACAATATAATAATTATAGTTAGAAATCTACTTTAAAGCAGCACTGTCTCTATGAGGCGACGTCTTCAAACTCATATACAAATGTATACTCACTATTTTTATAGTAAGTTAGTAATAACATACTTGAAATATTGAATATCACATTGTAGCTGATGTACAAACACCAGCAAATAATGCTGAAACAAATGCTCTTGATTTTGAAAAATAATCACTTTATGTATAAGCTGCTAATAATACCATTATACCAGCTAATGATGAAAAACTTGTATAAACATATAAAAATGCATCTCGTCCTCAAAAAAAGAAAATAATAATATTGACTATTGAGATGATGATTTTATCTATATACTTACCAGGTGCAACTAGTGCCAATGCTAACCATCCAATAATATGAAAAATTCTAAAAAAAAAAATTTTTTGAAAATTAAAAATAGAAAATATTAGAAAAAAAATTCAAAGTTACATAGCAATTAATTTAACAAATCGATCAATCAATGGATCAATAATTACTGATGGAATTTCAAATAAAATAATATCCAATGTTAATGCATTCTAATCAATAAAATAGATAAAATAAATGAAAATAATTTAAAATTTTCAAATATCTGATATTGTCTTGTTTGATGTCCTTCACATGATAATTCTCTATTTTCTATTTGTATTTGATTAATAAATGAAGGTGAACAATTATTTTGATTACCATAAATTCCATGTTGTCGTAAAATTTTAAATAAAGCTGGAAATCCAAATATTGTACCATCAACTAAATTCACTTCAATTACAAGTCATATTAAACCAAACCATTTTCGAAATGAATGATGAACTTGTCTTTCTGAACTCTTTGTTGTAACAAGAATAGTCATATTGATTGCAAATTAAACAAAATAAAATCTATGATTGACTGTATTCAATATTGAATAGAATAAGAAGAAAAAAAAGAAAATATCTTAGATCGAAATTTGAATATATTGAAAAGATATTTTATCAATAATATTTATTTTGATTTTATTTCAAAAGATTCAATAGTTAATTTTAGATGATGATATTACTTTGTAATTGTAAGTTTGAATGATGTTGAATTTTGCTTTTCATCGAAGGTTTTTTCCTAATAATAAATATAAGCATAGACTTCCTAGTTCGTGACTAAACTTTTTTTTCCAATTACTACATTCATTTGTGTCATTATTGATTTTTGAATTAGATAACTCGCATGTTACTATTTTTATGACAAATTATTACCAATATGGGTGTATCGATACAGGCAAATGCAGAACGAAAGAAAGAAGTACACCTACCTGATGATAACATTTTAATGATTATTTTCATAGTGACGCATTCAATATAACAATCGAATACATACTCATGACTTTTTGAAGGAAGTCATGATATTTTCGACTTCCGTCTGATATCTCCTACACAAACGGAATTGTCATTATTATTATTATTATTAATTACAAAAAAAAAATTTACTATAAATTCAACGTTAGAAATTCAGATATTCTTCATTATATAAGAGCAATCTAGTGCAAATCAGAAGATATCACAAGAAACTTATAACATTTATTTACTCATAGGTAAAGTTTGTTAGTCAGTCTTAATGTGAAATACTTATTCATCTCTATTTATGAGAAAATTCAAAGACTTTTTTGTTTCTTCTTTTCCGAGAAAGATAATAAATAAAAAAATAATGGTTCAAAAACGAAGATTCAGTGTCGATCTTGATCATATACAACAAGAAGGATCAGAAAATCCATCAACACCATCAATATTAACTCCATCGAAAGCAAAATATTTTCGTCGACAATTTAGTGAACAAAATTTTGGTAAGTCTACCGAATGTAGAGAACTAAAAAAAAAAGGATGTCTCTCGATATGCCATATTGTTCACATCGTCGAGTTCTCAACAAAATTATCGATAAATTCAGATGATTTTTATTGTTATCATAGCAACAAAGTGTCAAAACGGACAATAAAACTCATACTTTGATTTTTATGTTGTGTTGCTCTGTTTATAATAGAAACAACCATATTTTATGAACTATGTTCATCGAGTAGTGAAAATAGATATATGTTGATATTGTATAGTTTCATAAATAGACTTGAGAAGAATCTGAAACATTAAGTAGTGGACAAAAATATAGAGTGGCTGTATGTTTGAGTTTTCTTCTCGATGGTAATACCTTGGAAGAATGTAAGGAATGAAATTGAATAGTTGAAAGGATTCTCTATCAGAATTGAAAACTCTAATAAAACTACTTGAATGAGAATGTCTAGAAAATGAAGACCCCTTAAAATCAGTTTTTTGTCATCCATTTGAAGTTTTTTTCTAAATAGTTTTATTCACTTGAGCAAAATGAGATGTCTCGTCTTTTTTCATGACCTTCCTTCATCAAACTACATTCAATTTACAGAAGATCCAAGATGTATTTTCTTTTGTTTGTATGAAAAAATTTCAATGATTTCACCATGTTTGATGCATTTTTCTCAATTAAATAAAATCATTTACAAAAAAACTTCAAATGAATGCTAAACTTGGTTTTGTGGAGTCTTGGTTTTCCAGACATCCTCAATTTCTAGTAGTTTTCTTTTAGATCCATCAATTCTGATAGAAAGTCTTCTCAATCTTATTTTCAGATTCTTCCTAGCTATTACCATTCACTACAATAGAATCGCAATGCTTTCTCGGTTAAATTTCTAGAGAAATAAAATAAAGTTCATGTTGTTTTGAATCATATATTGAAATCATCTTTCATTTTCATCTTATTCAATCTCTTAATCAAATTGTTTTACAAACTTCAAGAATATTTATTTTTATTTTTTTATTTTATTCAGACGAAGAGATCATAATCAATCGTATTGACGATGAAGAAAAAGAACAAATAAAAAAGCCCTTATTATTATTAATTAATGGTATTGAAAAGTTACCATATAAAATAGCTGATATTAATCTAGCAGAATTGGGTAGAAAAGCATTATCAATGGCTGAAGCTGAAATGCCAGGAGTGATGCGATTAAGAAAAATTTATGCTTCAAAAAAACCATTAAAAGGTGTTCGTCTGGCTGGATGTTTACATGTAACAGCACAAACTGGAGTAATGATTGAAACATTTCGTGCATTGGGTGCAGAAGTAAATCAATTCTATTTGTTTTTGTTTTTTCTTCAAATTATTCACATATGATTCTTATTTTCTAGGTTCAATGGAGTTCTTGTAATCCATTATCAACACAAGATCATATTGCAGCTGCACTTGTTAAAGCTGGTATACCAATTTATGCATGGAAAGGTGAAACAGAAGAAGAAAAACTATGGTGTATAGATCAGGTAAATAGACAAGATTTAAATAAATATTGATTTTATTGAAAATTCTTTTTTTTTGAAAAATCTTCTGAAAAAAAACCCAATGTAACTTTGTCGTTAGAGAAAGAACATTGATTGAGAAGATTTTTCTCTAAAAATATTTATCGTATATAATCGATATATTTATTATAGACAATCTATTTTGCTGATGGTCAACCATTAAATGCTATTTTGGATGATGGTTGTAATTTAGTTCGAGTTATACATGAAAAATATTTACATTTAACAAGTGTTATTCATGGTAGTAGTGAAGAAACAACAGCTGGTATAACAAAATTACGTAAATTATTTAAAGCAAATAAATTAAAAATTCCAATTATTAATGTTAATGAATGTGTAACAAAATCAAAATTTGATAATAATTATGGATGTGGTGAAAGTCTTATTGATGGAATTAAACGAGCAACAGATGTTATGATTGGAGGAAAAGTAGTTGTGATTGTTGGATATGGTCATGTAGGTAAAGGATGTGCTAAATCATTAAGTGGTCATGGTGCAAGAGTTATTATTACTGAAATTGATCCAATTTGTGCTTTACAAGCAGCAATGGATGGTTTGTTATTTAAATATTAATTATATTTTGTATTTTTAATGAATAATCATTTTATTTTTTTTTCTATGTTTAGGTTATCAAGTAATGACAATGGCTGAAGCATGTAAAATAGGTCAAATATTTGTATCAGCAACTGGTTCAACAGGTTTAATTCGTGGTGAACATATAATGGAAATGCGTGATATGGCTATTTTATGTAATATTGGTTCTGGTCAAACTGAAATTGATGTTGTTTGGTTAAAAGCTAATGCAATAAAAATTGAAAATATTAAACCACAAGTTTGTTTCATTTAAATTTAATATAGAATTTTTATCTAATTGATTATTTTTAAGGTTGATATTTATCATTTATCAAATGGTCGTGCTATAATTTTACCAGCTGACGGTCGTGTTGTTAATCTTTGTAAGTTTTATTCATATGAATGAAATAGTTTGATGATTTTTCTTTTTTTCTAGCTTGTGCACATGGAAATCCAAGTTTTGTAATGAGTAATTCATTTTCAAATCAAATCTTAGCACAAATTGAATTATTTACAAAAAAAGGTCAATATGCTATTGGAATTCATACACTTCCAAAAATTGTAAGTATTCTTTGCTAATTTATTTTAGAAAAAATGATTATTTAATTCAAAATATTTTCGCTTTCTAGTTGGATGAAGAAGTGGCTATGGCACATTTGGATTATTTGGGAGTCAAACTGGATAAACTAACACCAACACAATCAGCATATGTTGATTTAGAACCATGTGGTCCATTCAAACCTGATTATTATCGTTATTAATCAGGAATTCATTATCAGAACTCGGGTTTTTTTTCTTAGCATAATATATGTAGATCACATCTTTGTACTCAACCATTTTTATTCAGTGCACATTATTTTATATACAAAATTGTTAATAAAAAATACTAGAAAAAAGAGAATTGAATATTTTCTCTTTATTACAGATTACGCAGAGTGCTGAAAAAGTTTAAAAAAAATATTTTTGTTCGTTGCAGCATTCGGTAGTATCGAAGAACTACTGAGCAGTACGTTGTGAGCAAGCGCAAGACATGTACCTAGGGGTTTTCGAGGATGCTGAGCTTGAATCTGCGGTCCATTTGCCTCGAAATTTGATTGATTGGCCGAAAACCAATAGGAATTCAGCTACAAAGGAAACAGACAAAAACATCTACACTTTCGGGAAAACGATGAGAGAGGAGTTTTTAGAGGCGATGAGTTCGAATCTGGGATCTATCGCTTCGAAATCTCATTGGTTGACCAGAAACCAATAGGAATTCAGCTGCTAAGAAAACAGCTAATCAAACTTTCGTTTTCACGAACACAGTCCGGTAGGGGTTTTTAGAGGCGGTGAGTTTGAATCTGGGGTCCATTCGCCTCAAAATTCTATTGGTTGACCCGAAATCAATAGGAATTGCAGCGTTTTTTAGAGACGTTGAGTCAAATCCGGAATCCAATCGCTTTGAAATCTGATTGGTTGGCTGAAAACCAATAAGAATTCAGCTGCCCAGAAACCAGCTGATCAAACTTGCGTTGTCGGGAAAAAAGTCAGATAGGGTCTTTCAGAAGCAGTCAGTTCGAATTATGGATCCAATCACCTCAAAATCTTATTGATTAGCCCGAAACCAATAGGAATCGAGTTTTGGGAAAACGAATATCAGTGGATGGTCGGAGGAAGGACATTAGGAATTGGAAGTCTTTTGAGCTCGATACCCTACTGGAGCATTCGTAGCTCTACTGGGTGACCCATGCCATACACAAATCGTGTTTTGGGAAAATTGGTTTCCTGGGAGTTGTGTGAGGCGAGGATTTCGAATAAATAGTCTATGAGACGCAAAATTTATTCGTCATAGACATCGACTTCTTAGGTTGCTAAAAGGGCTGTCCCACAAAAATCTTTCTGTCTGTCTTTCTTTGCAATCAATCGGAATTCAGTATGATTCCAGTAGTACAAAGTACGATATATTGTCGTAATTGTTCCGATCAATAGGTATTGTGAACGCGACATTCTAGATCAATTAGGTCTGTCGTTGTGTTTAGTTTCGATCAAAGCGAATTTCTCTTGCAACGCTGTCGAAGAATCGATTGTCCATGTGGGCTCCCCACTAGAACACAACTAGACAGCTCCGGAACCGGGAACGTGATCAAGCGCGGCCGAGGCCAGTTCAGATCTGGGATGATCGAGACAAGTATGTGCCCTTATAAATGCTTGACCAAGATAAAAAGTCGATAGAACTCATAAGTTTCACCAAGCTATCTCAAGACGTGTAAGGACGAAGAATCCTTCACTTCTGATCAATTTTTCAATGTCAATATTTCATATCCACCGAGAGCGAGAGCAGTCGGGCCGGGACTTATAATATGGCCAAGAGCCAGAACCAAGACCAGGGCAAAAAATAGGATTTTATGCATGTCTACTCTCCACTGATTGGGTTTTCTTACATCTTCTCGAGCGCAATAGCAGTTTTGCTTGCATATATTAAGATTGAATTTTCCCGGGCAACGCCGGGTACTTTCACTAGTATACTATAAATGTAGATGTAAATCTTCAATCAAATGATAATAGCATAAAATATTTTTGCACCAAGCACATTTTAATAATGTTCGTTCATCACAATCTTGGGAAGAACAGTATAAATCATAAAATTTGAAACAAATGTCTTTTGGTTTTTCGATCTGTTCAATTGTTTCATTAGTTATTCGAGCTTGTATAAATCCACTCTTAATGAGGTTTTTGAATTGTGGAGCTGATAGTTGATTATGAATGATGGAATGTACATTGATGAAATATTGCCGATCATTTAAATTCATTTGTGTTCGATTGATATGAGTATAGCGTTCGATTTTCTTGTGGAAATATCGCCATAAACGAAGTAATGATAAATCTTGAGATTGAATATGACCAGTTGATCCTTCGAGAAAAATCAATAGTTGACTGTCTTGATGTGGAAATACTTTTCGAAATTTATTTTGATCAGTTTGAATTGTCCAAGAATCAAGGAAGAGAAGAAATTTTTTATGTACACAAGGATGTAGTACATCATTTAAAAATATATAATGGTTTGCAGCAGTGCTTTTCCCGGATTTTGAGGCTTGTACTATAACATTTGGTGGAATAATCATATTTTTTACCACTATACTGCCAAATTCATCTTCTCTTTCTTTAAGAACAAGTAAGAATTTGTTCAGTAATCGACCAGCAGCTGATGTAACAGGTTGCATTGTATAGGAATGAGTGACATTGTGCTTTCTTTTAATAGCCGCTTCTATTGTTCTTTCACCAGTGAAAGAAAGAGTTAGTGGAGAGACATATTCTTTTTGAAATGAACAATGATCGCTATTTAAAATTTGATCAGAAGAATACTTTGATATCAATGTTCTTTTACTTTCGATCCAATTTCGAGCATCTAAAATATTTTGTAACTTAGATAGTACATATTTTTCAACAGCAAGTAAAAGTTTAATTACCATTTAAGCTGTAGACTTTTCTATTCGATCTAATTCGAGTAATGAGTTTATTGTACCGTCGCGATGATATACCATTTTATTTTTTAAAAGTATTGATAAAGGATTTGGTTGCCTTGAATGTATCCCAATCTAATTCTCTTACTTTTTGAATTCCGTAAAGTTCTAAATCATCATCATGAACAGCTTCTTTTTCAATTGTTCTTTTCAAATAAAATTCATTAAACATAAATTCCTTTATCTGTTTTAATTTTTCTAATTTGGTGCCGGTATTTTCAATGTATTTTCTAGACCTTAATATATACTTCATGGATTTGATTTTCCGAAATCGATGACAAATAGTTGTAAATCTAGCATTTGGATGTTCATCAACTCATTCGATTATATTTTCTATTTCTTCTAAGGTAAAATGATTTTTTATATCATAGTGTTCATTCTCATTATAATCATCAGCTTCACTATCACTATCTTCTTCTTGATTGGTTGTTCCTTCTTATTTATCATCGGTTTCTTCATCATCAGTCAATTCATCATATTCATCAGCTAATTCGAGAGTATCATAAGTATGAATTTCACTGGAATAGCTATCTTTGAATGATTTCAGAAGCTCGAACAACTGCTTGGAAGCACAAATTTCATCAGTAGTAATAGGAGAATGTTTATATTCATCTTCAATTTGAGTTAAATAAACAAGATGTTTAGCGATATTCAATAAATTCATGCTTTAATTTGATTAAATGAATCTTTTTATAGGTTAAATATAGCAGAGAAAACAAGAGAGCAACTATTGAATAGTATATTTCTTGGTAATTTCTTGACACCCATCATACAGAAACGGTCAATTAGAATTATTCACATATTACAGCTTTATTTTCTCTTACTAAAGCCCTCTTTTCTATACTATTATAGACATTATTATAACTTTTAAGGAATCAATCCAAAATACCTATTCACGTAGGGTGGCTGTGGGTGTGGATGTGTGTGAGGGTGTGGGTCTGGGTGTGGGTGTGTGGGTGTGAATGAAGAGAAGGCCTATACACCGACATCCACACCCTGCTGTCTAAATTGCTTCCAGTTAGATAACAAGATTGATTGTTAGAAGCTATTAGCTCTGACAGACACCTAGTGTAATATGAACGGAAGATTGTCATCTTTTCACCTTCAGACTCTGATATTATTGAATACCTTGTCCTCATTGAGTTACCTTAAACACAACATTATATAATGCTGACACAAGAGAAAAGAAAAAGAAACATACATAGTCAAGGTTAATACTAGTAAGGGATGAGTCATTTAGAGGAAAGAAAAAGAAGGTTAGTGAAGTGTAGTAGACGTTAAATGTTTTACTGTATAATGCAAAAAAACTAGAAGTAACGATGATTTTTTTTCGTTCTTGTCATGTTAAACTTGAATGCTTTCACAGCAGTCTCATGCAAGGCAGAGAAAGAAGAAAGTCATGAAAGGAGCCAATAAAAAATGACTAATGAATGATGCTTTTCTTACCAAAATCACTGACGGAGAAAGTATATCCCACGCATTATTACTAAAATTATTATACGCAGAGAGAAGCAAGAGAAATTTGGTAAAAATAGCAAAACGAAAAATGATGCAATTGATTCTTTCTGTTCGTTCGGATCTCTCCAACGAATAAATATTTTTATTCTTTTTCTCTCTGTTTCTCTTTTTTTTTTACCTTAATATTTTCAACAAAAACAAGTAGGGTTCGTTCTTGCGTGTGAACGAAAAACATAAAACATTGTGCGTAGTAGAAAAATAGAGAGAAAAAGACACTAAATAGATATATACAGAGACGAAGTGGTGTATGTGTGAGTGATAAAAAAATTATTTATAATTTTCAATTGACGATCAACTTATTATTCAGAGTAATATGGATGTACAAAAACCAAACAAGCCTATGTTTACATCCTCAAGGATTCCATCGACAACAACATCAGTACAGTCGACTAGCATTCGTCCAGGGCGCCGCATTTTCCAAGATTTCTTTCTGATATGGTTAGATGCCAATATTGACCAAGGTAATAAAGATTATCAAAGCATTTTGGCACAACTTCAAAGCATAGTCAACGAAGTTCATACCTTCACGCAGAGCGATCAATGTATCTACTTCCTCACCAAAGTCGATGATAGAAAGGCATTTCTCATTGTAGCGGATGATATGCAACAACAAATGATGTCCCTCATCCATGATATTCCTCATGTTGATAGCATTTATGTCTTTTCTGGAAACAAAGTTCCATAAGAAGATTGCACTAACGATTGGAACAAAATTAAGGGCATATATACGGAAATTACACCCATCTGTAAAGCACTAAAAGTAGCCATCCAACAATGTAATCAAGATGACATCTCGATAAGCTTTCTCAATGTACATCAAGAGGGCTTCAGCCAAAATCTGAACGAACTTGAACCTTCGTTTATGTATACTCAACTGTTCAAAGAAATTCTCCTTGAAATCGACCATACTGAACAAGCAATTAAGGATTTTACTCAATTCTGGCGCAACGAATACGTCGACAATACCATTACATTGGACCGTATCGATGAATTCGAACGTGATTATCGTCCACAATTATCAATTTGGTGGTACACTCGGGAATATTTTCTCTACCAAATGCTCAACTGGTCTCTTCGAACACTAGAATCCGATACAATTATGAAAATGAGCTTCTTTATTCGTGATCTACATTGTCAAATAGAAGAATTACACAAACAACAGGCAAGAGGTTCTGAGGGAGAGCCCATTACTGTTTACCGAGGGCAGGGGTTATCCACCGCTGACTTTCAAAAACTTCAGAAAACAAAAAGTGGCTTGATGTCCTTTAACAATTTTCTATCAACTAGTGAAAATCGACAGGTTTCCCTTGGCTTCGCTGAAAGTGCCTCAACAGCAAGCGATATGGTGGGCATTCTCTTTCAAATGTTCATTGATCCCACCATCATATCAACACCCTTCGCCTCCATCCAGCAAGTGAGTTATTTCAACGAAGAACAAGAAATACTCTTCTCAATGCACACTGTTTTTCGTATCGGTGAAATTAAACAGATCACCAACAATAATCGCCTCTGGGAAGTACAATTGACTCTAACAGGTGATAATGATCAACAGTTGGCTGCTCTTACACGCAGCATACGCAGCGAGCTCTATGGATCCACAGGATGGCAACGATTGGGTGATCTTATGTTCACACTGGGACACTTCAATAAAGCCGAAGAACTCTACAATGGATTGCTGAAGAACTCGTCCAATGACAGTGAGAGAGCATATATCTATCACCAACTTGGCCTATCGAAACACGTAAAAGCACAGTACCAAGAAGCGGCTTCATTCTATGAAAAGTCTCTCGAAATCAAGCATAGAACACTCGCAGAAGATGATCCCCAATTGGCTCAATCCTACAACAACATGGGTGAACTGTATAGAAACATCGGCGAATACTCGAAAGCACTTGACTTTTACGAAAAATCATATCAAATAAGAGAAAAATCGCTCCCTCCGAATCATCCCGATTTGGCTACTTCCTACAACAGCATCGGTGGAGTGTATTATTGCATAAGTGAATACTCGAAAGCACTTGAATTTTTCGAAAAATCACATCAAATAAGAGAAAAATCTCTCCCTTCGAATCATCCTAATTTGGCTCAATCCTACAACAATATCGCTCTTGTCTATAATACCATGGGTGACTACCCGAAAGCACTTGAATTTTACAAAAAATCACATAAAATCTACGACAAAGCTCTTCCTCCGAACCATCCCAATTTTGCTACTTCGTACAACAATATTGGTCTTACCTATAACAACATGGGTGACTATTCTAAAGCACTTGAATTTTACGAAAAATCACATCAAATAACAGAAAAAGCCCTTCCTCCGAATCATCCTAATTTGGCTCAATCCTACAACAACATCGGTGGAGTGTATAACAACATGGGTGACTACTCGAAAGCACTTGAATTTTGCGAAAAATCACATGAAATAATAGAAAAATCTCTGTCTCCAAATCTTCCTGATTTGGCTACTTCTTACAACAACATCGGCTTTGTCTATAACAACATGGGTGACTACTCGAAAGCACTTGAATTTTACGAAAACTCACATCAAATAAGAGAAAAAGCCCTTCCTTCGAATCATCCCGATTTGGCTCAATCCTACAACAACATCGGTGGAGTCTATCAGAACATGGGTGACTATTCGAAAGCAATTGAATTTTACGAAAGATCACATCAAATAAAAGAAATAGCTCTTCCTCCGAATCATCCCGATGTGGCTACTTTCTACAACAACATCGGTGGAGTGTATAACAATATGGGTGACTACTCGAAAGCGCTTGAATTTCACGGCAAATCAAATAAAATATTCCAAAAATCTGTGTCTTCGAATCATCCTGATTTGGCTACTTCCTATAACAACATTGGTCTCGTGTATGACTACTCGAAAGCGCTTGAATTTTGCGAAAAATCACACGCAGTCAGAGAAAAAGCTCTTCCTCCAAATCATACCGATATGGCTCAATCCTACAATAGTATCGGTCTTGTCTATAGCGATATGGGTGACTACTCGAAAGCACTTGAATTCTACGAAAAATCACATAAAATCTACGACAAAGCTCTGCCTCCGAATCATCCCGATTTGGCTCTGTCCTACAACAACATCGGTGGAGTGTATAACAACATGGGTGACTATTCGAAAGCACTTGAATTTTACGAAAAATCACGTCAAATGAGAGAAAAAACTCTTCCTTCGAATCATCCCAATTTGGCTACTTCCTGCAACAACATCGGTGGAGTGTATGGCGACATGGGTGACTACTCGAAAGCACTTGAATTCTATGAAAAATCACATAAAATCTACGACAAAGCTATGCCTCCGAATCATCCGGATTTGGCTATTTCGTATAACAACATCGGTGGAGTGTATGTCGACATGGGTGACTACTTGAAAGCGCTTGAATTTTACGAAAAATCATATCAAATAAGAGAAAAAGCTCTCCCTCCGAATCATCCCGGTTTGGCTATTTCCTATGACAACATCGGTAAAGTGTATGACAACATGGGTGACTACTCGAAGGCACTTGAGTTTTACGAAAAAGCACAGCAAATCTACGAAAAAGCTCTACCTCCGAATCATCCCGATTTGGCTCTGTTCTACAACAATATCGGTGGAGTGTATAACAACATGGGTGACTACTTGGAAGCACTTGAATTTTACGAAAAATCACATGAAATAACAGAAAAATCTCTGTCTCCAAATCTTCCTGATTTAGCTACTTCCTACAACAATATCGGTGTTACCTATAACAACATGGGTGACTACTCGAAAGCGCTTGAATTTTTCGAAAAATCATATCAAATACGAGAAAAAGCTCTCCCTCCGAATCACCCTCATGTGGCTGGTAGTCACTTGAGTTTCGCAGTATGTTACGAAAGAATGGGTGATTACGCAGCAGCTCTTAAGGCTCTTCAAAATGCTTTTCAAATTCAACAACAAGCATTTCAAGAAGGTAATCCAGCTTTCGCTTCAACATATAGTTGGTTAGGAAGAGTTTATCGCAGTATGAAAGATTACTCAAATGCACTTGATAATTTTGAGAAGTGTCTCGCAATATATCTGAAAACGTTACCTGAAAATCATCCATATCTAGCTCTAACATACAGTAATATTGGTGATGTTCATCGATTAATGGGTAATTATGAAAAGGCACTTACATTTCATCAAAAAGCATTAAATATTCAAGAAAATGTTCAATGTAATCCTCTGGAATGTGCAACGATATATATAAATTTAGGTGAAAATTATCGTGAAATGAAAGATTATTCAACGGCATTGACATATTATCAAAAAGGATTAGAAATACGTGAGAAGAAATTACCAAAAAATCATCCTGATTTAGCTGTTGTATATCATAATATGGCAAAATTATATTTGGCTACACGAAAATATAGTATGGCTATGAAAAATATTCAACAAGCAGTTGAAATAGCTCAAGAGAAATTACCTTCAAATCATCCTCATCTTTTGGAATATAAAGAAACATTTGAAAAAATTTGAATGAAAACGTAATTTATTTTTGTTTAATTTATTAGTAAAAGCGTCATTTTTATGATTTTTAGCCCATTGTACACGTCGTTCTTTTTCATTCGATGTTAACATATGAGTAGATTGACGTAAAACATTTCTATAATCATACTCATGAAGGTGACGGCTAATCGTTGACGTTGATACTGATTTGTGGTACATTTTCGAAAAATTGTCTTTTATTTCCTTATCGAAAAGGAAAGAAATTACATTTCCATATATACAACGTGTAGTATATCTGTCAAGGGTCCAGTCATCAAAAAATGACCGTTACATTCACTTACAATAGTAGAGAACCAGCTTTAAGAAAAACAAGTCTTTTGATGCAAGTTTTTTTGCAAACACCTGTATAAAGCCCAAAAAACGTAAATTGATGAGAAACCCATAGAATATCAAGGATTTTGTGTGAAAACAGGGATAAATCAATGCGTACAAGCGTATATTGATGAGAAGCATCCATCAAATATCAACAATTTTATGTCAAATCAAGTAGCGAAGCATGACTCATCCATCAAGAATCTCTAATCCCAAGCGTATTTTGATGGGAAATCCAGCAAAAATGCCTAAAAATCAATGAAATTCTCGTTACCATGGCAACCGTATATAGAAATCTTAGTTTTTTCATCATTCCCACACTCTCAACACTCAATTACCTAGTCATTTTTACCACAATTTAATTTTTTCACATAGTACTGTACCACGAAAGACTTGCAGAATTTTCCAATATACCCAGTTGACCTTTGTCTAACCTCATACTTTTTTTTTTTATTTCGCGAGTTTGTAGAGTTCGTCAAAAAAGGAAGACGTAGATGCTTTGTGGGCTTGGCAGATGTAGGGTTCGGTTGCTATGAGCTGCGGAATAGTACATTTTTTTAAGTTTTAATGCATTTTTCAGTGTTTTTTTGATGTTTTTCTTATGTTTTTCGGTTGGTTTTTGATTGAAACCTTTGTCTGGGCACCTCGGGTCACAGATTTGTGTTCGGTGCGTATGTTCGGGTACTGGTTTTATTGGTTCATTAGCGCGTTGATTGTATTTGTAGTGAGTAATACTATACTCTTGTTTTTCAGTAGATATCGGAATTCTGTTTTTTCTATTTGCTAATTGTGTTTCGAGCGGATTTATTTTAGTGATATGATCGATTTAATAATTAGGGCTAGGTTGGATACATCTATGACGTTAGAGCATTTTGGAATTATGCGATGATTGGAAGATATGAATAATGTTGGTTGGGAGTTGTGTGTATATTGTGAAATGTTTGGTTTTTTGAGACTCGCATTGTTTGTTGTGTTTATATGATGGGAAATATGTCGATGTGACTATGATGGATTGGGGGAAGCTGTAGTAAGAAATTGATGGACATGGTTGATCCTTCGAAGAAGTTGGAATGAACAAGGGATATGATTTTATGCACATTGATTAGTGTGACTTCTCGTCTTTTTGGTGTTTAGAGAGATGGAATAGGTTAATGTTTTATTTAAAAACTACACTGGCGATTTTTGGAGTGAGCCGATATTTATGTTTCAATTATGGAAGTCGTAACTTTACTAGTTTGTGTGCAATGAAGTACAAGATAAGTTGAATTTTCGTTAAAGAAGTATTTGAGCTCTGTAAGTCTATCAGATTATTTTTGAAGAAATAATTTAATTGTTGACGTATACGCTGAGAATAAAAGTCGTTTGGTCTATTTGTTAGGTACATGGATTCTATCATCCTGTTTATAATAAGAATTAATGATAGCTGTAAGAAATACTGGTATTCAATACTGGATAGGTATGTCTAGTAGGTGATGACATATTCTGAAACATCTCGTTCAATTATTCTTATTATACCAAAACAGAAGGCGGTTCATGGCGCAGGAGACCAGGGCAGACCGATGGGTGTTACGATATGTCTTATTCGGTTCGTTATTTCTAACTAATCATAGTTCTGTGGTTTCTAACTGTATGGGTCACTCGAATTCTTTCGATTTTGACAACCAGATGGCTTAGTGTGGTGCCTATTTTTTTCAGTGTATGCAATATTGCTGATTGTCTCGATGCTTATGAATCGTATTATACATTTCATAATCTTAATTATTGTTTTGAACTACGGCTCAAGATTCTTTATCGATTTACATCGACAAATGATTATTAAAAGTGATCTTAATATATATTTACAAATGAATGATACTCTTCAATCAAGATCAAATATATTCAATTAATTCTTCTACATCATTATCAATGAATCTATTGTACTCATCGTTTTCAAGGGATGTATACTTTAATTAATTTAAACCACTTGTTCTTTTTAACTCACCGTCAAAATAGAACAATATTAAAACGTCCAATGTTCGAGTATCACAAGGTGTCAACAGATCCTTCAGATTTATTGGTTTTATTACTTATTATTGTTGGTTAGCAATTAGTTCTAATACATATCGTGCATATGGCAAATCGGTACAGTTTACCTTTGACTACTCAAAAAGAAGATATAACTTATTTAGATGGGAATTGAGGGAAGACATTTATTTCAACTAGAAGAATTGTATCGGCAAAATTAGGCAAATCAAGGAAAAGATTTGGAAATTCACCTTTATCGTCGTGTAAACTATATCGATTTATGTCATCATGTTACATTAAATGATCATGTATATTTAAAATCCCTAAAGATTGGAAAAATAGGATGTACTCAGTTCGGACATACAAGTATGTAATTAAACATATTGTAAATTTGGAACAAATCTATCAATTGGTCATCGCTATGGAAAAGACTTTTATTGATTTATTAATTTCAACCTTCAGCTTATTGTCCAGTTTCATTCATCAAACCTTCGTTCTTTATCGTTCATTAATCTTGAATACATGAATCCTAAAGATAATATTATTTTTTTCTCAAGAAAACCTCGAAGTAAAATTACAAAAGCTCATCTTGAGAGTGTTCAATCAAGCCAAAGAGATTTATTTTCAATACATTTGCTTCATATAATATCATTAAGATCATGTTTGCCTATTTTGCTCTTGTAACGACACCCTCAAGATAAAAATTCATTCCTCATTGAACAGAGACATGGCACAAGATAAAGAAAAGAAAAGGAAATATTGAAAACAAAGATTTCATATTTTTCAGAAATTTTCGTACATGTTTTATAACTTTTGTTGACATTTCGTTGATTGTTAAGTAATTTAATACATATTAACAATGTTGACCACTTCGGGACACCAACACACCACCATCTTATTGTGCTTTTTTTCATAAAATCAAGCAAATCTTCTTCGCCAGTCAATCATTGAGTCATTGATCAACTAAATAGAATTATTATATAAATCAAATTCAACGCAACAGAGATAAACTCACTTTCATCTATCCATCCATCAATGCCTTCCAAGGTTGATACATACAGTCATCGTCTTTTCGCTGTAACTTTGCCATATATGGCCGTATATGTTAAAATATTATTAAGGTGCCATGAAAATATATAATGGATAAGTTTCACTTGATTGCATTGTGCCATATACAGTTTCACATGGGTCTCACTTGTTTCTTTATCATTGTATATAGTTGAACAATTTTAACCACTTGCCGTAAGGTACAAGACGAAAAATATCTTGAGTGTGCAGTTTTTCATTCGCTCTCAACATAGTATCTATGGGGCACCATCACAAATTAAACAATTGATGTTACTATTAGCAATCTCAGATCGAGAATGAATATTATTTCATCTCGTTATAGAACCGTATGAAAAGTTTCTACCAATTGGCTTCATATTAATTATTTAGCCAAAAATACTGATAGTTGTCTTTTCACTACAATAATACTATGTTCATCAATGTGTACAGTTCCAAGCCATTTCGGCGGATACTGAGAGATTAAATTTATTTATTATATATATATCGACAAACCTAATACTCTGATCCTTCTTCTTCTATAGATTTTACTCAACCACTCAACAATCCTCCTTAAAATATGTATTTTTCAATGAATCACACATGTGCATTGACGAGAAATCGAAGAAAAAAGGTAAAAAATAATTCATTTCCTATCTGCATCAGCTGCCCATCGATTTTTGGGACGGCCGTCGCGTTTTAGCGTGCTTTTCTTAAGATAAATGTACCCAATGACTTTTCGATCTACTTCTATGTATCGAATTTTTAGTGAAACTTGAGTAGATCCTCTAGATCATCACTATTAGTGCGCGCGCACGCTGATGAGATATCTCAAGAAAATGTAAGAAAATTCTCGTATTAGAATAAATCAAGCAGATCACAAAATATTCCTGCACTTATCTATGTCATAGAAAGTTCCACTTCAATGTGGTATCTTCCTGTTTCGTCGACACACTCTTAATTAGGTTCGTTTCATCGACAAAACTTTTTTCCCTTTTCGTCGACAGAAGTTTTGTTTCTCATTTCATCGACAAGATTATTTTCCTTTTTCATCGACAAAACTTTTTTTCTCGTTTCATCGACATTTTAAGTACAACAAGATTATATGAAGAAAAAGAAATAATAATTTATTAGAACAAAAATTTTTTAACAACACAAACAAGACAGATGAAAAAATATTTCAATAATTCATCAACCAATGAAAAAAAAATATCGTTATTTTGTACTAATTGTATTACACATCTTGACGAAATACTCTTCTAATGATAAAGCACCTTTTCCATAACGAGTCATTAAGTCCATAATACGTTGATTCCGAAAAATAAATTGTTTTTTTCGTGGTGGTTTGTTTGTGTTGTTCTCAAGTTGTTTCAGAGTAGCCATGTTAAAGGCATAATCTTTCTTTAATTCTTCAATAACAACATATAAATTTGGATTGGTGGTACCAATATTGGAATTTAATCGATGATGCCACCCCTCCAGTCCATTTGTAGTCCTTGGACCATCAAAATTATAGTAATTCCATAAGGTTCTGGGAAATAAACAGCCTTCATCCACCCAAGTTTCCGTAAAATAGTCAAAAAAATCTCGTGCATGTGGTATATGATCGAACTTGTCCATTATTCCACACCATAAATCATTTATTTCAGACATAGGCATAAATGTCAAAGCAGCAGTTTGCTTAAATAAACTTTTAACACTTGTTGGATCATCAGGAGATGAATCATAATAATCTTTTTGTAAACCTAATTCTTGAATCTTTTTAAATAAGCATTGGTTGTAATGAAAGTTACAGCCTTTTAATGTTGCACCTGGAAAAATATGCTTCAACGCACTAATAGCACCTTGTTCAAAATCTACTGTGATAAACCTTGGATTAAGAACTAAATCATGTTTTACTGTAACTGTTCTTAATTCATTGAAGAATAATTTATACATATTTTTTGTCTTGTTTGGTAATAAGGAATATAACACTGGTACAGTATTATTCAAAATTGATGATTGAATATGTACTGTATAAAGCTGAGCAAATGGATCTGGACAAGACTTGAATGTTCCGTCCAAAAAGATATGATCTAATGCACATAAATCATGTAATGATTGTTGTGTACCAAAAGTTAAAAATCGAGGATTAAGATGGTCTACAAGAATAAAATCTTTGTTATCCATTGACATTCTCCATTTACCTAAAAATCAAATATATTGAATAAGAAAGAGTAAGACATTCTTAATATAATTTAACGTACCTTCAATAGATACCTCATTAATCGATCGTGGCAGTGGTGGATAGTTTTCATTTTTAACTCGATAAAGACTAGTTTTTATTTGATGAAATTGTGGTAAATTACGTACATCATTTGGATTAATTGTGTACCGTTTGATTAATTCTGATCGATATAACTGTTTAAGTGGTACTTGTTCTTCACGGATACGAAATTTTATATCGGACTTGAATTTAATTATTTCATTTTGTTCTTTGTTAGGATCGTGGTTGTGTGGTGATGAAATTACAGGTGGTTCATCACCTCTTTGTATTGCACGACCAGGACAACCAGTAAGTTTTTCGCAACGCCAATATGTTGTGGTATTACGAATATGATCACGAAGATATCGATATTCATCGAACAGTAAACATTTCTTTCTTTTTGTGGTATCCACAATCAAATACATCTTTATGTGTATATATATTGTCTTCACAACGCTCATATATATATAAGTGTCGAAAAACAAAGGGATAATACTTTCTTTCTTTATTATACATATGACTATTCTTATGTATAAAGACAAGTAATATGTATCAGTCGAAAGCGTTCTAGGTGTTTTCACCGTCCACTATTGTGACGAGCACCTCGATGTTCTCTATTCTCTCTTTTTTCTCTTTGTTTATCTGATATCTCCTATGCCATGATTTCACTTTGATTGTTTCGTGCTTTGACCTTGATTAACCCCGACATTTTCTTCTATGTTTGTCTTTATTTTCGTGCTCGCCTCCAGTGCATGCTTGCTCCAGAATAATTATAGAATAGTTCATAAAAAAATTGTCGATGAAACAGGAAAAACGTTGCGTCGATGAAATGAGAAAAACATTCATGTCGATGAAAAAGGAAAAAAATCTTGTCGATGAAAACGGATAATACAATCTTGTCGAAGAAACAAGAAAATTAATTAATTAGTCTTAATTTTTCGATGAAACAGCCCTGAACCCTTCAATGTGTAGATCATTTTTTTAATCATCAAAATGTTTCAAAAAATCAAAAATTTTTTATAAAGTTAAGGTACTACTACTTGGACTTCTGCGGCGGTATACACAACCTTATGTATAACATCTTAAGGATTGTACTTATGTTCGTATATGTCGACATTTTTCATTAAGATTTGTTGGAAGTTCTTCTTTGAACTTTCAATAATATTTTGATTTGATTTGAGATAGGATCATTATGCAGAATATATATATAGATTCCAAATTTGCCTGAGTAGTCCCTTAAGAGTAAAAACGAAACGCGTCGTAACTAGTTTGGAATCAAGCAATTTAAACTCACTTCACACCCTCAAGATAGCCAAGATAGTTTTATCTAATTTAGTTTTGTTTAAGCTTTTAACTTCTCCCTTCATTAAACAATTAATTATTCTTCTCAAACTTCAAATTCATTCAATCTATCTATCTATCAACCTTGTTTTTATTCGTTTATTATCAAAATAGAAAGTTTAATGTTCACATAACAATTATAAGTGTGACTTACCACACACTCAGTTAATCATACACTGATACAAATATTAGAAAGAAAAATATAAGAACAATTATCGAAGTAAACTATGTATATATATTTTTTTTTCTGTTTTAGATTGTAAATGGTCTCGTTTTCATCAACCTGGATATTTATACAAAACATAATAGATCTGATCGATGTTTTGTTGCAAAACGATACATCAAGCGAATTCTTGCAACAAACGTTTGACAACCACCCAGCCAACCAACCAACCAACCACGATTATTTTATCGTCCTCATCAAATTCTTGGGTACAACTAAATAATACTTTTTATTTCCATGTCGAAGGATACGTTCCGTATACAGCCGTTTACTGTGAGAATACCGCCACCTTGTATACATGACAAAAACTATCTAGATAATTGACCAAAAATAAACCAGTAAGAAAACCGACAAAACGAAAAGCCAGTACACCAATGACGGAAAATGAAAGAACTTCAAAATAAAACAATAGTGAAGAGAATATTATATGTGAACTTTGTATTTTATTTTTTTTGTTTTACTTTTTTTGTGCAGTCAGATCTAGCAATATTTCTTTTCTTTTGATATTTATTTCGAGTGAAATATTAAATATTGTATCCTTTTTGTATAAAATAAATGTCTATACTATTTATTTTATGTCTTTTGATAATAATCTCTTTCTCCTCGACACACACTATACATAAAATTTCCTTTATAATTTCCTTCTATTCATCAGACTATCAATAAAGTTTCACAGATTGCACAGAGAGAGGGAGAGAGAGATCACAACCAAATTCATCTAGTTAGTACCAGTTTTAATCAATTAAACATGTCTGTCAAAGATATGCACCGACCAAGCTTTAAATACGCGGGGTATGAGAGATAATAATGATCAAAAAGCACAAATGAAGATAGTCGCCACTGTAAAGGCTTGTCGAAACCGGTCATGGTATGCTCTTCGATAACGTTTATGGTAGCTATACTCACTTGACTTTTCATTACAATAATACTATGCTCATCAATGTGTAAAGTTCAAAGCTACTTCAGATACATAGCTTGATGTATTGATAAACCGTAGATATACTAATGAGTTCCTTATGTAAGGATGAAACGCGTCTTGTGATACTTTGATTCTTTTTAAACAAATCTTATATAAATTTCTATTATATGGCAGCTTGTCTCACACTGTCTATTGAATTTACTACTGCACTTTGTATTTAACAATTTGTAGCTATGTAAATAAGTCCGTTTGGATTAATGCAATCCAGATAGATTATGCCATCTAATGAGACCCTTAAGCAAGGACGAAATGTCGTCTATTGCTTTGAATCTTTATTTTTTTTATATAAACTCATTCTCAAGATATAGCTTTTATTCACACTAATCTTACCAATGTTATATATAGAAATTACTTCCCAATATGTCCATCAAAATGAACATATCTTTACATACGTATATCTGGTATGAAATTCGATATATTTTAACAAACTACCAGTAAAATTCGTACAAAATTAAAAGTTTTACCTTCTACCACTGTAAACGACGATATCGCTTATATTACTGTTAATCAATGAAAAAGATTTCTTTTGAAATATTTTTCTCATGTAAAATAATTTTACTTGAATGATATAATCCAATCATGATAGTGTTGCTTATGGAAAAGCAAATTAATTTCATTGATTATTTTGAACTGAACGACGATGGATATATGAAGCGAAAATCAAGTATAAACATATGGTGAAAAAGCTGTTAGCGCAATCCCTTGCGGGATTAAAAATGTGAAACACGATGGACCTATTGTTACTAATTAAATAGACATCGTTTTGTTCCATTTCTTCAAGATAGATTTGTAGCTTACCATTTATTTGATGCTTCAAAACTACAGTTTCTCTGTCACGGTTTGTGATGGGTATTGGGGTTTCTCTGTCACGGTCTGTGATGGGTATTGGGGTTTCTCTGTCACGGTCTGTGATGAGTACTAGCGTTTCTCTGTCACGGTCTGTGATGGGTATTGAGGTTTCTCTGTCAGCGTCTGTGATGGGTATTGGGGTTTCTCTGTCACGGTCTGTGATGGGTCCGGAGGTTCTCTGTTACGGTCTGTGATGGATACTAGGGTTTCTCTGCCACGGTCTGTGATGGGTATTGAGGTTTCTCTGTCACGGTCTGTGATGGGTCCGATGATTCTCTGTCACGGTCTGTGATGGGTCCGGAGGTTCTCTGTCACGGTCTGTGATGG